AAATATTTGTAAGCTTGCTTAGAACTAACTGATACTTTGAGTAATCATCTCTTCCAGTGGTTCCCACCCTTTGTTCTTCCAGGTGTTTTGGACTTCAATTTCTAGAAATCCCAGTCAATTTACCAGCTGTTAGGAATTATGGATGCTGAAGTCCAAAACACCTGGAGGACCAAACTGATCTATGTCTTCACATAAAGCTGGTGTTATCTCCACTTACAGGGGACATACATGGTAGGCAGAAGTGGATATATTTACCAACCTACTCAACCAAATGGAGTCTCTCCACAGGCACAACATCTATTTGTTTGAGAGCACACATGACCACTCAAAGAAGTTACAAGTAGGCAACTTGTTCTTATAGTTTGGACCCATTTTAGATTAGGATTCCAAGTACCTTTCTATTTGCATTTTTTTTAACAAGAGAATGAAAGTGTTGTACTTTGAGATACTATTACATTGGGAACAAAAACTGCTCCCAACTGTGACACAGAATAGATTTCACTGGTCTGCTTTCCACTGAGAAGGCAACAAAGTAATTAACAGCTTAGTGGCAACATTGAATGCTCTGTCAGTGTGTATACAAGGATTGTTAATGTTTCAATATGTAATTAATAGGTTTGAGACTGGAGTAACTAATGTGCTAAGATTTACTTCTAAGAATTATGAATATTATTACTATGGTATAATGAAAAGCATATAGACAGGATAGGATTAGATAAAAACAAAGTGCTGTGTGTAGGAGGCAAAAGTTATTCTGATTGTGCAAGTCAATCCAAAAACCTGTATTGCCATGGTTTTTCAAAATGGGATGTATTGAGTAGTGAGGGCATCTCTAGATGTTAGGTATTGCTTGAGACAAAGGAACACAGTGACTTGCTTCAGATAAAATGCCAAATCATAGTTTGTTTTTTAAATTTTAATAAGCAAGTTTTATAGTAATGTGATTTATTTCCCACTTCATTTATTCCTGGGTTTTGACAAACTATGATTTCTCTTTGCACCTGAAGCACCAAAGGGATGTGTGAACTTGCAGGTGAGATTTGGTCTGAATAAACCCTTAGGCTTGAGCCACACATGATATATTATTCTTAACTGAGACCATGTAGTCCCCTGGGGTCTCATCTTCAAGTCTCTGAAATAATGCCAAATTTTGTGGGAGAAACAGCAGGTGTTCATGAATTTAGAGTTTTTCATGACACTATCTCAGAGTCTGTACACATTTTAAACAATTTAATGATTAAAACATTTTTAAAACTTTAAGTTTTAAGATTAGTTGGAACAATTAAAAACCTAATCAGATTTGGCCAAAATTATTAGACACAGATGTTCCTCATGCACTCCAGAATGGCAGATTGTAAGGAATAATGAATTTGGAATACTCCCATCTGGTCAATTAGAAATACTCTTGTAGTCATTTTTAAATGCATTAAGTGTGCATGGTCAACTAATAATAACAATAACAATAGCAATAATAATAATCATGAAGGTGGTTGTAATAGCATCAAGGCCAAGAGGGATATATTCCACCTCATGCCAGATGTGCATTGGAAGGTTAGACACTGATCTGCAATTAAGGTCCAGGGGATCCAGGGAGGGCTTTTTTCAGCCAGGGTCTAAGTACTAAAGCAGTTAGCATACAAATTAGAGCTGTTTATTTGTTTTAATTATATATCTCTGGTGTTTCATATCAATACTTCCTTCTCTGTGGTATAGCTGCTTTTGGAATTGGAGTGATTGTTGAAGGATTTTTGATTATATCCCCAGGTGCTTTGGACTTCAGCTTCCACATGATTCTATGATTCTAAACTGTGTTCCTTGAATTCAGATTCATGCAAAGACATACATAGCTTGAAAGGCCATTTCAAATCACAGTTACACTTCTTATTTCCTGTTTAATCACAAACCATGATTTCTCAATTCTGATATTGATCCAAACCATAGTTACATTTCTTAGAGATGGTTGGAAATAAGGTCTAAATTGGGCTGCAATTTTCTGAAATTGAATATTATGTGTGTAATCACTGTGTATTTTATTATCCGTGTTAAAATAAAATGGGAATAAATTCAAATCAGTAGTTCCCTGTGCTGTAACTGCGAATACAGACTATTTAAATCAAACTTTACTGAACACAGGATTGAAGCATTCGTATTTATTATTGTAGCAGTGGCATTTCATTGACCAAGAAGGGAAGGGAGTGCCTTGCTTTGAAATGTTGGGAAATGGTGGGTATGCATTGTAGTAGATTGGCTATTATTGGGACCTTGGAGGGCAGTACACTCTCATGGAACCCATCTTTGCAACAGAGAAAATAATACAAAACAACCCACTTTTTTGTCTAGGAGTAGGGGAGAATGTTGTGTTTTCCGTCCTTGAAAACACTTTCGGCTCAGAAGGACCCCTTTCTAAAACAGAGAGTGACCTAAAATGTCCTATATGGATGCAAGAACATGATAAAAATGCCCTCATGCTTCCTAGAGGGTAATTCAAAAATTTTAAACTACTTTGGGGTCCTGTGGACTCAAAAATAGCCCTAGATGCCATTACTTTTCCATACCTGCACCATAGGGAAGACTAGAACAATAATTAGAGATAGTTTATATTGAATATCATCTGTATATTTAATTAGATAAATTTGCCTCATCTAGGCTACAAACTATATTTCCTCAGTAGAAACAATTAACATTATTAATGAAAGTACCCATTGATATAATGTTAAATATTATGCTGGCACCCCTAACTACCAGCATTCCATAACTTTTTCTTTCTCCTGTAACCTTTTGTACTGTTTGAAAATGGTCTCAGAGGATTTGCAAACTCTCCACTGTATTTGTGTGGGGCTGCAGTGGAGAAGCAATGGAAATGACCCTTTCATTTTGGCCTTATCTCTACATTTATGTTATAAACAATAAAATCTGTCTTCAGATAGTTTGCTGTTGTAGTTATGGTCACTTGAAAGAAGCCATTAGATACTTGAAGTAATTAAAGACACATAATGGCAATTACCTTGTCAAATAAACTTGTATTCACATTACGCCCTAGAGCTATATACATAGTAATTATAAGACCTATAAGAAATTTGCAACTATGCTCATTTAGATGGAAGTTTGTTATACTATGACATTAATAGGTTAATTTAAAATGTGTTTCTTTTAAATCTGTTTCTAATTTTGATTTTCAATATAATCTTAACGTCGTATATACAGTAGTCCTTTCAGATTGCAGGGTCATTGGCACAGGAACACCACAAAAATGCAAAAAGCCAGAAATTTAAAAAATGCTATTCCTTTTATCTGATAGAACACCTATCTAGAAATCGGTACAATAAGTTGTTCTCCAGTACAACTCTCTAGGTCTTTGATGTGTGATTTCATGCTCAACTTCTGGCAGAGGCTGACTATATAGAAACACACTGGAGGATCTATAAATGCACATATAAATGTTCTTTTTTGGAATCGCTAAATCCTCCAGCAGGACTCTGTGGTCAAATTTATGTTGAATTTGACCATTGAGTTGCACAGGAGGACCTAAAGATTTCCAGAGAGAACATATTGATCAAATCCACAAAAGTTAAACCTGTGGATGTGGAGACCTCACTGTATGTAGATGCACACATACACACAAATCTTGATGTAGTTTCAGTAGATCATCTAGTATCTGTATCTAATGATGTAGTGAATCATAGTTGTATCTATGAGTGATCATTGTTTGAACAACCAAGCAATGTTAGGCCAAATTGATGTCTACATTAAAAGAGAATCTTTTAATATTTTATTCAAGTTACATCACTACATCAAGAATTTATAGAGAATTATGTGGGTACTGCTCCTATACTTCTGCTCTTCTCCACAGTTGTTCTGATCTTACTCTTTGCATTCTCCTATGGTCTTGATAAGGGTCAACCACCATTGAAATACATGCATTTAATCTGCACTTTATTTTACTGTGCAGTCTATACAGATCAATATGTGTTTTCATCTGATGGTAGAGGGTAGATAGATACAGTATTTAGGATTAGTTCAGATATGGAAGATGTTTCCATCTATTCTGGGATGATGTTGCTATTATTTTTTCTTTAACAATACAGCTGACCATATTCAGCAAGTTCGCCATTTCTTTGTGTAGTGTTTTCAGTGGTTAGAAAAGTGTTATGGATGGTAACACTTTTCCTCCTATTTTCTATATCAGCTTTCTTCTTTCTCCCTTCAATTGTTATAAACTTTGGACCTTAGCACATGGAGGTCCTAGATGTGGGGAATCCGTAAGGCAGCGGGGCAAATCATGGAGCAGTGGAGCAAATCCATTGCCCAGCACTCCACATCAGCCATATTACCCGCTTGCGCATCGCACGCCAGAAAGTGTACATTTCCGGCTTGCTCCTGTGCTGTCACCAGCATTTTCTATCTGAACATGGGTAGTCTCTCATGTTCAGAGTTCCCCATCCTAGAACAGTTAGTCAACAGTCAGCATGGAGCGTTGAACCTTGGCAAATGAAGTGGTGTCAAACTGCCTTAATTTTGCAGTATAGATGCACTTTGAGTTCGAAGTACAAAAGTAGTTTGAACTGAATTAATTCCGCAAAAGGGACAGGGAGAAACAGGTCCTACCCTATAAACTCAGGCAAAAGCAAACTGATGTAGCCTCTCTTAGTTTGTGTGTTGTTCTCATTAACAACTTTTGTCATCTTGGCCACACTCTAATATTGCTTGGCGGGTATGAACTGATACAGTCTTCATACCATAGATAGTCCTGTTTGAACTGACTTTTCCTTAATTTTAATTTTTAAGATGAATTCCCAATAATTTATGTTTAACTATTCCCCTTATTAGCTTTATTTTTGTCTTTAGATGACAAAAATATTATCACATATAAATGTGTTTTTCTATATATAAAATTATACTTGGTGCTGGTGTTTATATCATAGTAATATGTAAATAGTTTAATCAACTGACTTGCTGACTCAAACTATAATAGTACCATGGAGTTTGTGCTTTGTTTGCAGCATTTGGCGAGGACCAAACATAAACTGCACGGATACTTCAGGTTACACTGCTTTACATCATGCAGCCTTAAATGGTCACAAGTAAGTACCAGATGCATTTATTTTATTTTTCTACTTGTTCAAAGTTAAGAAACAGTCATATTTATATGTATGCACGAAAAGTTTAATAAAATGTCCTTATTTCCTCTGCTTATATTGCTTGTCCAGTAACAGAAACCATCTTTATTTTCACTTATACAAATTAATATTTATATTTGTTGTTGTGTGCTCTCAATTTGTTTTTGATTTATGGCAACCCCAGAGCAACCCTCTCCTAGGGTCATCTTGGCAAGATTTGTTCAGCAGTGGTTTGCCATTGCCTTTCTCTCAAACTACTGTACACACTGGTTCGTGAAGGCTGATATATTTATTCTAAAAGTTTATAGCTTATCTTTTGTAGGAAAATTCAAGCTGGTTAAAACAAAACAACTATGATAATGATACCACTAACAACTATAAGAACACTCTCTCACACAAAACAACCTTGGAAATATATTTACACATATCTTCTCCCCTGCTTTAATGAAAGTAGCAATCCATGATGTTGCAACCCTTAAAGCAGTATCTGAGAGTGTGTGTGACTAAAAGCACAATGTTAGGTTATTCAGAACAAATGCAACCAGTCACTAAGTTGGAAGTAATCTCAAAAATTGCCTAGTTCATTTCCCCCTGTTAATGCTGGAGGTTCACTTCTACAGCACACTTTACAGATAGCTATCCACTCTTGCACCATAGAAATAAACATTTTGGATTATTCTTTTGTGGGACTGCTCTGGAGGACTGTCAGGAAGCATCCATTGGTTTAGAACAGTGGTTCTCAACTTGTGTGTCCCCAGGTGTTTTGGCCTTCAATTCCCAGAAATACCAGCCAGTTTACTTGCTGTTAGGATTTCTGGAAGTTGAAGGTCAAAACATCTGGGGAACCACTAGAACTTACTGTTCCAGGCTTAAGATTCTATTGAAGCCTTATGTCACCTTCACTAATGAAAAAATTGTTTGCAAGTCCATTCAGTCTTGGTCTATCTGTCCCAACTGCTGAATTCCTAAAACCCCTCAAGGAATTCTCCCTAATATATGCAGCAGCCTTCTTGCTGAGTAAGTTTAGCAGTTCTGGGATTCTTACTGGTGAATGCCCCATATTCCTCTGCCTACCGGTCTTCCCATAGTCTTTACTTTACATCCCCTGCACCCCCACCAACTGCAGGGGTGCCTTCATTCTTTTCTTCACCCCAGCTTTATCATTGCTTCTGTCTCCTCATAGTTACTGCTGCCTTCTTGTTGTGGCTGTGTTTCTCAGGAATAACTGTGTTTAAAGGGCAACTTTTAAACACATGTTTTCTAGCCTTTAACCCAATTCCTTCTGCATTTTGGCTAAAAGTTGTTTAGCCCCCCCCCCCCCCCAATTTAAAATTCATGTGTGAAAGGGCCTGTGGCACCTGGAACAGTAACCACTTATGTGAGGGAAGGAAAAGAGGCACTGCTTTTCCTGTGCACAGACTTAAAACCTCACTGCAGTAAGTTGTATGGCTCCTTTTTTTTTGTTATTTTCTCTCTAGAGTCATAAAATCATAGAGTTGAAATAGATACAAGAGCCATCCAATCCAACCCCCTGACATGCAGGAACATACAATCAAAGCACCCCTGACAGATGGCCATCCAGCCTCTGCGTAGAAAACCTCAGAGAAGGAGACTCTACCACACTCTGAAGCAATGTATTCATTCCACTGCCACCAGGAAGTGCCCCCTAATGTTTAGGTGGAGTCTTTTTTCTTGCAATTTATATCCATATTTTCCTGCCATTTGAGTCTATATTATAGAACTAAATCTGGCTCTTTTAACATCCTTAGAGATATTCTCAGGTTTCAAGTGTCTCTGAAGAGCATGACTGTAAACCAAATTGGTTATAGTTATGCAATTTTTTATTTCACTTTCCATAATTAAAAGACATATTGGGGCATAATCATAACCATTTGTAAATGCCATAGGTTTAAATTCTGCAAGCGTGATGACAGCAACTCTAGCACTTGATGACAATATCTATGGAATAATGACTAACAGCTGTTGTTGCTTGGTTCTAGAATATTTGACAATATGTGCTGTGTTGCATAAGCTTTATATGCTAATCATTCTGTTGATTTTTATTTTATTTAAATATTTTTCAGGGATGTAGTTATCAAATTACTTCAATATGAAGCATCCACGAATGTGGCTGATAATAAAGGGTATTTTCCTATTCACTTGGCTGCATGGAAAGGAGATGTAGAAATTGTGAAGATTCTTATCCATCATGGGCCATCACATTCCAGAGTGAATGAACAGGTGACAGTATTAAATATTTTTGTTTATGTCTTCAGAAAATACAAGTAAGTATACTTTTGTTCTTACAGATATAGGGATGGATTCATGAATTTCCTGCAATACTAAAATTGTTCATGAAAATAATTAATTATGGTAGTTTCTTTGAAGCTTCATGTATAGGTGATTTGATGTCACTCAAAACTAACACACATACATCTGTATCTAAAATAGACCAAGTGTAACCTACTGAATTCTCTGTACTGCTTTTGTTAAAATAAATGGTATGTTCTTATGCCGTAGCCCAGGAATGCAAGTCCTATGATCTGCTATAAATTTGGGATCAAGTATCAGTCAGAGTTAGGCCATTTAAATCAATGGCACTACCATTTTTTTAAAAAAAAACATATCTCATTGATACGCTAGGCCAGTGTTTCTCAACCTGGAGGCCGGGACCCCTATGGGGGTCACGAGGAGTTTCAGAGGGGTCGCCGAAGACCATCAAGCAACATATATTTCCGATGGTATTAGGAACCATTTGGCAGAAAAGGCTGAAGATCTATCCGCCCAAATTCTTCCCACCAAAAGCCGCCCTCCACTGTAATTGTCTGGCCTCTCAGCCAGCCTTTCAGCTGAGGGGAGGGCTGTTTCTGAGACTCTAAAGTGGGGAGGGGAGACCAGGCATGTGAGTGAGGGAGAGTGTGCAATGTTGGAGGGAGGCTCGTGCCAGCAAGTCCCTTCAATGCATGGGGTTCTGTGTGGGAAGATTGGCCCAATTCTATCGTTGGTGAGGTTCAGCGGGCTCTTTGATTGTGGGTGAACTATAAATCCCAGCAGCTACAACTCCCAAATGTCAAGGTCTATTTTCCCTAAATGCCATTGGTATTCACATTTGGGCATAATGAGTATTTGTGGTACGTTTGGTTCAGATCTATAATTGTTTGAGTCCACAGTGCTGTCTGGATGTAGATGAACTACAACGCCCAAACTCAGTATTTTCTGTTGGTCATAGTAGTTCTGTGTGCCAAGTTTGGTTCAATTCCATTGTTGGTGGAGTTCAGAATGCTTTTTGATTGTAGGTGAACTATAAATCCCAGCAACTACAACTCCCAAATGACAAAATCAACCCCCCAACCCCACCAGTATTCAAATTTGGGTGTATTGGGTATTTGTGCCAAATTTGGTCCAGTGAATGAAAATACATCCTGCATATCAGATATTTAGATTATGATACATAACAGTAGCAAAATTAGCGTTATGACGTAGCAACAAAAATAATTTTATGGTTGGGGGTCACCACAACATTAGGAACTTTATTAAGGGGTCATGGCATTAGGAAGGTTGAGAAACACTGCTCCAGGCATTGCTTAGTCTAGATTTGCTCCATTAAATCTTTGGATTCCAACCTAGGAAAGCTGATAGCAGTTTCATAAGCTGTTGTACCAAGAGTTTCAAAAAGCATGTCTGTTTTTTAATTGCTAGCTTTAAACAGTTTCTGGCCTAGCTATGTAATTTAGAGTCCCTCCCACCCTGTCATGATAAACCAGAATGTGAACACAAGCCACCATCTCCTCAAATGAGATATGATGCCCAAGGTCTACATCAGGTACACAAATTCTGTGGCCATTTATAGTCTACTTTTATAAGACTGTTGGGTTTCTCAACTATACATTCCCACAGTACATTATGGTAGAATTAAACAAGAAATAATACAGGTCATCAGGAGATGTTAACTATTGTCAAAATGGAGCTACTCAGGTTTCACTAAAACAATCTGCATACAGTTAAATCTTTAATTCTTATTTTATGCCAACACCAATAATTTTTGCTAGTTGCTTCTTCATTATTACTTTGGCATTTTTCAAAAGTAAAATATATCGTATGTTATCACCATGAATCTTCCACTGAGTTACATAAGTCCTGGAGTACCTCTCTGTTCCTGTATAGAAAAACTTATCAAATATGATGGAATATTTTTAAACACTGCTTATTTTCTAAAATAATTTGTACAATCTTGGCATATGTGGCTAGTAGACTGAAAAAATACTGTTTTGGTGTATTTCCTTTTCAATTATATGTCCCAGGGAGAAAGACACATTTCTCATTTATTCTTGTTTTTAGAGAAATATTCATAAATTGTGTACAAGTAGGTGATTTTAAATATAGCTTTTGAAACAAGCAAAACTGAGTTCTGCGAGTCAGCTGTACAAAACTTCATTGTTGACAACAACAAAGCAGTAAATTATAATGACGTTAGCCAATGTTTCTGTTTATTGGTTTAGCTCACTTTCATTGCTTCTTTTAGAAATGTTTAGCCATGTAGTCTTTGAATAATTAATAAGTGGAACAACAAGAAAATATTTTTCTCAGTTCAGAAAAAATAGCCTATAATTTTCTCTTAATGGATTAAAATTGCAGATAAATGATGTTTGAGTTGCTCAACTAATTGCCACTAATTCCAAACAGCAGAGGATTTATATTTGTCTTCCTTTTATCTTCATTGCTCCCTCTAGTGGTTCTTAGTTTTCTTGTTTGTATTTATTTGAATAAAAAACTATGTAACATTTTTGGAGCTGTCTTCTCATAAATATATATGTTTATGCATGTATATATTTAAAAGCTTTGGATAGCATAGGGAAGAGTAACACCCCTGTGGGGTTTGTTTTGATGTCTGTGCCCTTTCAGAAGATTGCCCCCCACTTTTTGTCTCTGTGAACATTGGATTTTGAAAATGTTGGCTTGTTGTGGAAACAAGGATTGGTGATAAAGCTTCAGTGGAGACACCTTTTACCCATGATAACTCTTTCAAGATTAATTTCCCTTCCTAGGGATAGATTTCTGTCACTTTCTGTTGTCACACCCCATTCTTAACTATGAGTTGTTCGTAAGTTGGTTGTTTGTAAATAAGGGACTGCCCGTAATCCATAATCTGCATGACAGGGTTGATGTTGGTTTAATTGCATGGAGAAATATGATGCTAGAAGTAGAACATAGAAACATATCCTGAAAGAAATATTTGACCAGTACCTAGGAGAGGAACTTGTGTTATCATAAGAGTAAGAAAGAGAAGAGAAAAGTAAAAAAAAAAAAAAGGGGGTATAAAGGGTATAGGTATAAAGTTTAAAGACTGCAGGTAACAGAAATAATGCTACTGAATATAACCATAAAAAAACAGTACTCCTTAGAAACAATATGTGTGAGGTTGCTTCAACATTATACAGTCATTTACAAGTCAGTAAAATAGTAATAAGGTGCTAAAACATTTAGTTCTAAGAAGAAGTAAATTTCTAGTTTATATATAATTCACATAGGACAAACCTTTCTGGCACATGATGTACATCATTATATATGTGTGTGTGTTTGTCTATGTGTGGTTTTTCTGTCATTACAGTGCATTTTCAGTTTTCCCTTTCTTTTATTCAGATAATTAAAATTCTCCCCATGCAGTGGTATCTTAAATAAATCTATTCAGTGACAGTTAGTTGACTATCACTGGAATAAATATAGGGGAGATGTTTAAATAAACTTGGATTCCTTTTTTATAAGGAGGCCTGAATGGACCTCAGGCAGTCCCCTAGTTACGTAGGTTCTGTAGGTTTGTCCTGAAGTTACATTTGTTTGTAAGTCGGAACAGGTACATTTTTAAAGTGTATCTCCAGACATATCGCTTTGGATAGCATAGGGAAGGGTTAACACCCTTGTGGTGTTTGTTTTCCTGTCTTTGCCCCTGTTCAGAAAATTTCATCTCACTTTCTATCCTTGTGATAATTGAATTTTGAAAAAAAATGGATAATCTGGTATCAGATTCTGGGATATCAGGTAGGGTAGATCCAGCCTCAGACTTCTCTATCGAAATAAACTTGGGTCTCAAATTGTTTACCCTTTAATCTATTCATTTAATGCCGTACTCTTGCCAGCTTTACACAATTGTAGGTTCTGCCACTGTGTTATAGCATTAATAGTTAATTCATAGGATATGAAGGGATGGAACTGGGCCCACACTACAGCACACATTTCTGATATGGCAATGCAGACCTTAAAGGTATTGCAACTATTTTAAAAGAGAGACTAGAGGAAGAGTCAACAGCTATTTTCCTGTTCTCCATCTTTTCTTACCCCTCGTGTGTCTTACTTTGTATATGTGTTGTTTCCTACCTTCCTTATTTCTCTTTCTTTCTCTCTCTCTCCCCCTTTCTTTCCCTCCCACCCACCCTCATTCTCCCTTACTCCCAAACCCGTTTCTCTCTTTTCCCTCCTTCTGTTTCTTAGGGTCAACTCAGAAGTTGCAGTAGGTCTGCAACAGAGGTGTTTTACCAGTGACACTTAACACAAGATTGAAATTGACTAGAAACTCAGCTTTAGTCAATTTCAATCTGCATCATGAGTTCCAGGTAATGTCCTTCCAATTTTTATTGAAACATGCTATTCCATTTCTTCTGCACTGGTTTTTTTTTATGTACATTGAATTAGGTAAATTATATTACCTAATCTCAATGTGTGTTTTTTTCAAGCACATCTCTTGTCCCTTCCGATTTTTACATGCGGCAGTTGAATATCTTACTGCCTGTTTGAAGCATACAGTTATGCATGCATGGCTTACAATGCACTTATTATGCTTGTAGCTGTAACTTTGTTTCACTATGTTTATGACAGGTCAAATACTTGTTTGTTTGGTAGTAACTTGTTACATTAAAAGTAATACTCATTTAAAACAAATGTAGCTTGAGAAATGCAAGTCATGTTATTTCTGGCAAATCTGTTACAAGTCATACCTAGTTTTTTAAATATTTAAGTAATACCCATAAAAATTACACAATCAAAAGCTGATGTTTACTAGTGTTTTATATTCCTTGAATTTTTGTGTAAGTCTTCTGTGAGAAAAACTGTGTAGAAGGTAGAAAGAAAGCTTGGAATCTTTGATGTTGTTCAGTGGGATGAAAACATTTCTCCATCTAGAATGTAGTATTAGGTGTCTACATTCCACTGATACATGTAGTAATGATGGATCACTATATAACTATTTT